GTCAAGTCATTCCAGTGGTCAACTGCTTATCTTTGCTCATGAAAAAATGCGATAGGATGACTGAAATAATCGCGCAATTTGTAAATACTAAGATCCCTCCCCCGGAGGTAAATACGGCCACGATAATATCTCACCCGGCCAAAGTAAGCTCTGAGTCTAAACCGAAGAAAAGAGCTAGACGCTCCAACCGCACTGCAGCGTCTGTGACTCTAAATCCACTGGGTCACCTCACTCCCATAAGTGGGCAAGCCTCAAACATACCTGCTTCCACTTCTCCAACCATAGAGGCTTCACTTGGAGATGCATCCATGACGCCGACAGCTCAGAGCCGTAGGAAATCCGGTGCAGATAACAAGCAGGTAACGTACGCATCGATTGCCTCGACAAACACACCGGGAGGGACACACATAGGTCCATTTTCAGTACCGAGCACGCGTGGCCCAAAGCAGCTTTCACCGCCAAATCCAATGGTGTCCTCTAAACAACGCGAATTGCCAGCAAAAAGTATAAAGCCAACACTCACTAGACAAAACCACGCTGCGTTAACCCTCGTGTGCACCAATGTTCCCGAATCCAAATCTGAAACAATAAAAGCTAAATTGCAAGACGATCGCAACCAGTGGAGTTTCATCTGCGAGGCAATTAACATTCGGGTTGAGCCTGCTATGCTGCAACGTGTAGCGCGTCACCCGACCTCAGTGCACTCTGGTGAACCTCGAATTCTTCGAGTAACACTAAACTCAGCAGATGAGACAGAGACTGTCCTGCTCTCAGCAGTTCGTCTTCGCAACTCACCGAGCGGAATACGCATATTGCCTGATCTACCTTGGAAAGATCGCGCAAAAGAAGCAGTGGAGCAACACGGTATTGCTAATAGAGATAGCAAGAGAACCATATTTGTTCATGGAGTTCCCGAGCTTCTACATTCTTCTGATCACGATGCACAAACTCATGACCGAGAGCAGTGGTGCTACATCCGTGAAGCACTCTCTGTAGACAATGTTATTGCCAAATCCCTGACAAGAGTTCCGTCATCACCTAACTACAAGGGCTGCGATCCAAGGCTAATTAAAGTAACACTACACTCCGAGGGAATGACGCAAGTTCTGTTAGATAGCTGGTTAAAGTTTCGATCTAGGCTGCCAACAGAGATCCGGCTAAAAGCAGCAGGTGTACGATCAAAAGTCGGAAGCAATTCAACGGAACTTACAAACGCAGCAAATTCCTTATCTGCACAGTCCTGCGGAGAGACCAACACAACTGCGCCCACGGCACACAGGAGGACCGAGCACAGCACCAGTGAAACTTCTGTACAGGAACGCTTAATAATGCCATACAACACGACTGAAATACATAAACCAAAAAACGATTAATTGCCGGCCACCTAACGGCCAGCTTAAAAGCGAACACAAACTTGACATCTTTCAATGAACTCCTAACAATAAAAGCCCTATCTTGCATGTACACAAATGCCCAAGCCTTCTAAGCAAGTTGGCCGAACTTAGAGAACTCCATGCCTCACAACCACGAGACCTCGTCATGATTACAGAGACATGGTTAAACCCTGAGATAACCGACTCTGAGATCAATTTACCCGGTATGTCACTGCTTCGGACTGATAGAACCGGAAGGGGAGGCGGTGTGATTCTTTATTACAATACAAACCTCCGATGTGAAGTTATCGACCACCCAGAAATCAGAGCACCCGATTCGCTTTGGTGCCGCCTATGGTTGCGAAACAAGGGCACATGTCTACTAGCCGTGATTTACCGCCCGCCAAACTCAACTTCGGAAATGGACTCCAAACTGAACCACGTTTTCCAGTTTGCTTTAAACAAGTCCTACACCCACATTCTTATCGCTGGAGACTTTAACGTGCATGACATAGAAACGCCGGCAACCGATGGTATGCAGTTTAAAGCCCGCTTGCAAGAGCTTATTGCTAGCCACCCTCTTTACAACCACATGACCACTCCCACCAGATTTCGAACTGCTAACAAGCCGTCGATACTGGATCTTGTGCTCACTAACGAAGAACTCATGGTTGATGGGATAGTTACAAGTACACCACTGGGTCGTAGTGATCACGTTACTCTACTCTTTGACTATATATGCTATGCAGAGTACCCTGAAAAGGAGGATGATAAAGTGCATACTGTCACGTACTACAATGTGTTATCTAAGCTTGTTAAGGATACAACTTGGACTTTCTTAACCGAATGCCCCCCAGATGTTGCCTGGGAAACATTTACAAGGACGTTTAGTACACTGGTAGCGCACGCATCAGAGGAGAAGTCCTTCCAACCTAAAAACAAGCGTAATTCATTTCTGAGGAGCAGAACACGTAAATATATGTCCCGGAGGGATTTGGCATGGCGAGATCACCAGGACTGCCCGAATGCCGAAACGTGGACTGCATACGTGACACATCGTAACTTCTGTGTGAAACTGATCCGCGAAGACAAGGTCACTCATCAGCAGAAGTTAATGAAGCGCTTCTGTACGAACCGCAAACTCCTGTACAGGCACGTTAACGGCCTTCGAAAGGTAAAGCGGGGGATTCCAGCACTAGTCACGGCTGATGGGTGCACGCGATCAGCAATGGAAGCAGCTGATCTCCTACGGCTTCACTACTCCAAAACTTTCCAGGAGGTAACGAGCACGAACATTCTCCGCATTCCTACTACTCCTTCATCTGGTTTAGAAAACATCACCTTCACTGCGGAAGCTGTGTTGAAGAAGTTGTTATGCTTGTGTATCCACAGTTCTCCTGGAGCTGACAACATCCGATCAAAGGCTCTACAGGCAGTAGCTAGTGATCTAGCAGCACCACTGGCTATTTTCTATCAGCGATGTCTAGAGAAGAACCGTATTCCACCAGTAAGGAAGGAAGGGGTCATCACTCCTATTCATAAAGGAGGTAGCCGCACTGATCCTGTCAACTACCGTCCAATAACACTACTTCCTGTGCTATCCAAACTGATGGAATCAATCATTGCAGATGCGCTGATGCAGTACCTGGAAAGCCACAATTTAATAGCCCCAGAGCAACATGGCTTTCGTCAAAAGCATTCGTGTAATACTAACCTATTAATTGCACGTAATAGCTGGACTGAAGCTGTTGATGATGGAGTAGGGGTCGATGTCATCTACTTGGACTTTTCAAAAGCATTTGATCGCTTAAACCATCGCATTCTCCTTTACAAGCTTCGTAATTACGGCATTGGCGACCCAATCCTGAGTTGGATTGACAATTTTCTACAAGAACGACGGCTAGTGGTGAGAGTCCGAGAATCATTGTCTGATGCAATCGATGTGGCGTGCGGAGTACCACAAGGCTCGGTTCTTGGACCTCGTCTATTCTTGGTGTTAATTAACGATTTGACGAGATCAATTACTTCCGATTTCCTATTTTTCGCTGATGATATCAAGATATGGCGAAGGATCAGAGGGCCGGAAGACAATGAACGGCTCCAGTGCGATCTTAACACAGTGTCGAACTGGTCACTTCAAAACGCCCTACCGTTCAATGTAGACAAATGTCGCGTCGTACAATTACGCCATTGTCATAACTACACCTATTCACTTGGGACCAACGGACTGCAGAATAGCTCCCAGGAACGTGACCTGGGTGTGATCGTACAGAGCGACCTCAACTGTTCAAAACAGGCTGAGGTAGCTGCGAAAAGAGGCAACCAGCATGTCGGCATGCTGCGAAGAGCATTCGGGAGATTTGACCCATCAATCTTCCCAATGATGCACAATTCCTACGTGCGCCCGCATGTTGAATACGCTATCCAAGCTTGGCAACCTTGGTTGAAGCGTGACCTAGAAGCGATAGAGGCACCGCAACAGAGAGCAACAAAGAATGTGCAGGGTCTGCGCTACCACTCTTATCACCGAAGGCTGAAGTTGTTGGGAATTTTCAGCGGGCGCTATCGAAGACTGCGCGGTGATCTCATATTAGCCTATCAAATATTGAGTGACCCCAATCACGTATGCAGCCATTTGCTGAAACGTAGCCACAACGCGCAGCTCAGGGGTAACTGCCTAAAGTTGAAGGAACAATACAGCCGTCTAGAGTGTCGACGGAATTACTTTTCCCTTCGGGTTTGCAAACCTTGGAACGCACTTCCTGACTCAGTTGTATCCTCTCCTACCCTGGATGTTTTCAAAAAACGATTAGATGTCGCTCTTAGCTCCCAACATTTTGTTACCTAAATTCCCCTACTGTGGATTACGCCAAGGATGCATTTCTACAGGCTTTATGTATCAAATGGACCTAAGTGAGCGACCATATTTTACTTTTCTCACTCTTTACCTCAATGATCACTGCACCCCAGTGTCTTTCTGCATGTTTCCGCCCGATAATTTATTTTAATTTTACACTGATGTTGCTTATCAAACTATTCATATCGGCAGACTTTCGATAGATGACCCAGACATATTTTGACTTTATCATATTCACCTCAACCATCCTAGGGGACGTGTCAAGCACTTGCTTTTATCCCGTGATAAATCATTGGTCATTGTTCATTGTTCATTGTTCACATCAGCAGTTCGAGACCGACTAGGGTTTCCGTAGGCACTAAGGACAATGCCTGTCAACAGAAGGATCCTAAACCATTCATCAACTTATCAACTGGGAACGTCTAAGATTGCACTTATACAATGCGTGCGTTCTCCCCCTCGTTTTATAAAATTTGATAGCATTATGGACTACGATGAGTGATGTATGGAGGCAAATGATTTCCTAAAGGTATTTGAAAGCGCTATGGATACAACTGCCTGAGAAAAGGTATACTTACCCGTTCTCTCCATATGCTCCGCGTACAGGTCGGAGGTACATCCTGTGCCACGAGTGTGTGGTCGTTGATGCACGCGCCCTGTTCGCTCTCAACTGTTTGAAATAAAGCGTCTCAAGTTTGTCCTTAACCAAGAAGTGTTTGGTTCACTCTCCGTTAAACCAACTCCGATGTTCGTTTTCGCATAACGCAGTCATGACCGGATCGTGCCCGCAGCAACTGAGTGGCGACCTGTTTATTTACGCTGCGTTGGTTACGCTTACCCAAATGGCAAACTACGCGAAAATGCTGCAGTCGAGTATTTATGGTCCAGTGCGGTGTTTCAGTAACAGCCCTGCGTTTTCTCCATTTACAGAGGGACATATTCACAGCAGTAAGTTTCCCTTGCGTATCACTGCATAATTGGCTAACATATTGATCACCACAATAGTCACTGGGTTTTCCACACGCCGTTTCTAAACTCGACAGTGTCCCACAATACTGCGCTAAATGGGGCTTAGTTAGAAGGTGGAAAGAGCGGGTTGGCTTAGCGAGTAAAGCAGAGTTGCATGGAGTCGTCGGGGTGTTTCGTTTCAGCTAGCCGAACAACCTCCTAGTGGTGCCAGCTGGGTGGTTCGGGTTTAACCCGTTCCAGCAAATAGTTCGGCGGCAGTGTTCCAGGACGTGGTGGGTTTTCGCCTGGCAAGCGTTCTCCCTATAAAAAGCCACAAATGTCCTGCTTAACAACACTGCGACGTGGCGGATGTGACTCGCCACAAACTAAAGTCACTGGCCCGTGGATATTCGGAAAATGCTATCCAACCCACGAAAATCAATCGCTTATTATCACATTCCTGACGATAACAGACAGTCAAAAATTCTGCGGCGCATTCAAGAACACAAGCTACATTTCTACACAATTACATACGTATATACACCCATATACTTACATACACTGTTATGCCAAACATGTCCTTTTGTACAATTTGATCACACTATGTTAGCTAAATATGATCATGCCTGTAAAGGTGTGTCTCGCATTGTCGAGAATAAACATTTTTTTATTTATTTATCAGTTCAGCGAGGTGTGGTGGACTCAGCTGAAGTGTCTCGTTTACCTGAACAGCAGTAAAGAGTGTGATGAGCAAAAGTATGGAAAAAGGTGGGAAAACGACGCCAGGGAAATATGTGTGAATAGCTCTATACAAGGTGTCAATGCAAGCAGGCTATTGATTCCACAAAGGCGTCATCGTTAGTTTAATGATTAGGAATGTTCAGTCGGTGTGTTGCATTAAGAAAGATACCTGTGATGTGGCATTTAACCGGCAAATAGAAATTCAAAAGTCCAGGATATTAAGTAGTTTTCATAGGATTTGCTTCCGTTCAAAGTTGCCTTCCGAATGCAGTCAGTCAGACTGCTATTACCCATCTGGAAAATAAGTGGATCACTTTTCCCTGTTCAAGATCTGTTGGTAGGGCACATTCCGCTGTGAAATACTGACACCTCGGGTTGGTTGTTCAGATGAGCTTGGAAATAGGTTGCAAGGCCGATAGCTCCGCAGGATGGTTTGGGTTTGCATTTGTTAATTATTACTAACAATTAGTGAGTAGCTAATGTACTAAGAGAACAGAGATAAATATCGCATACGCCATCATTTCTCCATCTACAGTACATCAGTACATCAATGGTTCACAACCAATTTGAGGTTGCTACCCCCAAAGCGGGTTCTTTATAAACAAATACTCCAAAAAATAGTATAGTTCAAAAAGCCAATGAGCTATTGCTTTCTGCACTAAGCTATGGAAAATGAATACTATATTTAGTCATATGTTATCAAGCCACTAAATCAGACATCTATTTTGAGCAACGTATTATTAATTCAAGAGGTGATGTAACTTATTGAAGCGGTTGATATTTCCTATTTCCAACAATTTATGGTAAATTTAGTGCGGTTTAGCTAATGCGAATCGTGCACTGTGCTCCAATTTCATTCGTTTCTTTACCTTGGTGTGTGAACTCAAACCAAGCATGAACAGATATGAGTGGATTCCAATTTATTTGAACAATCCATTCCAATTTCATCCTAGATGACAGCTTCCATCACCGCTTCGTATCGACACGTACTGAACACTAATCACCTGTTTTGTACCATCTTGCTTGTCAATAATTTTCGGTCCCTCCTTACCTGATTGGCTGACCTACGCTCCCACATTAGTGTTCACACGATCCTGTAATTTGACTCAGCGAACGACAGCATGGCTCCAAAGAAAAACGATCGATGAGTGAATCGATATAGGTGTCATCTAGCTGTGCTGCTTTGAAGGTTTGCCTTCGTATTTTGAGAAATAAAAGTCATTGCAGAAAACTGTCCAACTCATGGAGCACCCAATAATGATTAGTCACTAGCGCTTAGTTGCATATTTAATGACATGTTTGGATAAAGCTAAAGTTGTTACATATTTTGTGTGGCGACAGAATGAAGACCTAACCCTCGTACTTATATTTACCTTCCTCCCGTAAAATACCATTTTACCCCCTAGGGAATAATTCTTCCCAGGCTGAGAAAACTTGATCCACATGCTATCGGGTAAACAAGAGGAATAATGTCATTTATTCCCGCGAATTGTCGACACAGTTCGGTTGTGCATCGTCCTATACAGGTACATGTGTTTTGGAAATCCGCGTAGTGAGCGTCTATAATCGGTTATGTTTGAGACACCAATATCGCATCGACCATTGTCTCGAGTAAACTGTCCTATAATTTGAAGATAGCAGAAAATGAACTATGGGCTTCCAAAATCACTTGATGCACTGGTAGCTAGGGTTGAGCGTCCATGTTCATTGTTCGCCGATATTCGTAATTGGAATGCAAACATTTCAGTACCAAACGAGGTGATTTCTTCAGTGAGCTGCTGGCTTAAATGTAATTCGCTGGCTTGTTCCTCCAATTGTAATCGATTATCAAGTGATTTTTGTACTGACCACCTCGATCTGTGCCCCATGACCTTCACCGGTCTGTTCAAATCTGATAGACACGGGCGATCCGTGGGATGGTTTTGCCCCGGCTGTTGCTGATGTGTTGTTGATGGCTCGTTTAGCTGACCACGACGGCTTTTTAAAAGGTGTTTTAGTTCCCTCCGTCTTAACGTTTGGTACACTGGATCAATCTCTATGTGCATGTTAATCGGATGCTGCGTCCAACGCCATGCTTCAACGAACGCCCCTCCTTTTCGCGCCTCTCCTTTTGTTAGGACCTCTTTGTTGTTCCATTCGAAGCGAAGTCCTTCTTCGTCCGTATGTATTGAAACCAGTGAGAGAGTGTAGTGGTACTTACAAGCTATTGTATTCTTGTTGACAGTCGTCTTCCTGTCTGACTCACATAGCTTATCACAATCTTGACATCGTATCTTGTAAACAACATTTCGTCTTTCCTGTGTTCCAGGTCCACTTGTTGATATGGCTAGGAGCCGACCTCAGTGGCGTTCGTGCTGTGAGTTTCTTTGTCCCTCCCCATCTCTTTTAGCCCCTCCCCTCCAACTACGAGCTCATTATTTAGCATTTTATAATTTTAAATAGCAAATAATTTTTTTTCTGCTGCATAGTAGCAGTTAACTAGCTTACACGAACGATGATTATCGGTTACCGGTAGATCAGCTAGATTGTAACTGTTGCATTTTATTCCGTTTTTTCTTTTAGGTACTGCGGCACAGTAGCTGAGGTGTTTCCCACATCTAGCTAACGTGTATAGTGTGTGTGTGTTCCGAGTCTAGCTTTGGGATTCGACAGAGTTCTCCTCAATGTGGCAGTTAGTTTGTGGGCCACTGTAAGACCGCGCTGTTTGAATAATTTTGATGCCATCTCGGAGATGTTTTTTTATACATAGGTATAATGTTCTGAATCGGAAAAT